AAACGAGATAACGCATCCGCCTGACCAATGTTGTGTGTAGATTGATATTTGACGACGAAATCGTAACCAAGTAGAACCGTTGCCCAGCGTTGGAGACGACTAGCCGTGCAGACCGGAATGCCTTTCTTTGATCTAAAGATTGCAACCAAGGGTTTGTGGTCAGTGAACAGCGTGAATTTTCGTCCGTAGAGCATTTTGTGAAATCGCTTGGCTGCAAACACTATAGCCAAAGCTTCTTTCTCGATCTGTCCATAGTTGCGTTCCGCTGGGGTGAGTGATCTGGCTGCATGTGCCACAGCTTTCTCCGAACCATTGGGGAAAATGTGGGATATGACTGCTCCGATTCCGTAGTCTGACGCGTCAGCAGCAACTATGATCTCCAGCTCCGGATTGAAATGCGTTAGCAATAGGTCAGAAAGCACTGTAGACCTGACATTATCAAATGCGGCTTGACATTCAGGAGACCACACAAATTTGCGATCCTTTACCAGAAGTTCATTGAGCGGTCCTCGTAGCCGATGCGTTTCGGGCACAAAAGTGCTGTAATGACTGATCAACCCCAAGAATGATCTGAGTTTCGCCACATTGTCAGGTGGAGGCATTTGTTTTATGGCACTTACGTTTGAAGGATCCGGACGACGGCCATCCTTGTCAATGATGAAGCCGATACTTTACACACTTCATGCCGGTATTGCACTTTTCTGCTTTCAAGTGAAAACCGTAATCGTTAACGCGGTGGGAACTGTTTCCAGCCTTACCATCAGCTCTCGTAAGGTAGACCCTTTGATTATGACGTCGTCCAAGTAAGCTGCGACTCCTGATTACCCAGCTAACATCGTATCAATAATTTGTTGAAAAATCGCGGGGGCTGGTTTGACACCAAACAGCCAACGGTTGAACTGGTATAAACCTCGATGCGTATTGATTTCCAGCAACTCCTTCGAAGCATTGTCGACTTCAACTTGAAGCCAAGCATCTGATAAAGCTAGTTTTGCAAAGTAAGCGCCACCACTGAGCTTAGCAAATAAATCCTCTGGGACTGATAAAGGATACTGGTGCATTTTCAAAGCAGCATTCATTCCTGTAGAGTAGTCAGCACAGATACGAACGGTTTCATTGGTCTTCTTGACGACAGCAATAGATGCTGCCCACGCTGAATAGTTCATAGGTTGGATGACGCCGGCCCGCTCCAAACGATCAAGTTCTGCATCAACAATCGGCAGCGCAGCGTACGGTACCGGTCTTTTGGGTCAGGATACGGGTTTGGCATCGTTTTTGAGAGTAAGGCTTGCTTTGGCCATTGTGCATCTCCAAAGTCGTTGCAAAACACGGACGGGAATTTCGTTCGTAGCTGCTCGATCAGGTTATTGTTTGGTTTGTCACCTTCCGAAGAGGACCTCGTATATCCGAGCCGGAGGGCATTGCAGACTTGACTCAGGGGGATGTCGAACAGGTGGAGCTTCTGGATCCAGTTGAGTCCAAGCAGATTCATATGTGACAGGCCCGTAATGTACACGACAAGGTTTGCCCGAGCAGGGCCAAAAACCATTTCACACTGCGGCTCACCAATTAGATTAAGTTGACCTCCTGAAGCGTTAAGTGCAATATGTGTCGTTCGGCTGATTGATGGAGCACCAAAATACTGCCAAGTATTGCTGGAGCTAATTGTGATGTCCGAGGCTGTATCTAGCTGAAGACGCACTTGTTGCCCATTCAGGTGAATTCCGATGTACTTTCTGCGAGCCACATGTTCACCAGAGTGGGCCGCTTGAACCGTACTACAGCTTCCGAACTTTTTGGGAACATTTGAATTCGGTCGCGTATGTCTTGCACGCTTGAACCGCAGTCTGCATCAGCAGTGCGTTTCCTTATGACCCCGTTTATGACATTTGTGGCAAACATGTTTCAGGAATGGACACACTCGAACAAAATGCCACTCACTACATCTCCAACAGGCAGTCAGGACCTTGAGATTCTCTCTGGGCTTTTCATGGCCTGTTTCACTTAGAAGCGGTTTCTTTGAGGTTGATTTTAATACACCAAGGCTTGGAGTTGATTGTTGTTTCTCCAGCATAAGCGTATAATGCTTGAGGTTCAGCACTGGTTGGCATTCAGTAGTTATGGTCTGTAGGGTCTTTTGCTGATCCTGTTCAAGATTACTCAGCAGCCTGGGGCGAATCTTTGCATCCCGTGGGGAATGTAGGCCACAGATAAAAATCAAGCATTTGAACTGATCTGCCGTAATGGATTTGATGTCGAATTTTTCGCACTCGCGATTGACGATGTCAGCGTAAGTGATGTAGTCATATGCGTCCACCTTGGTGATCTTCAGACATTGATATCGTGTGTTGAAAATGGATGACTTCTCTCCAAATAGTTGGCCTAAGCATTTGACAGTCTCCTCAAAAGTGCAGCCTCGAGCGTTCTTAGGTAAAATAGAGTTGACATACCTGGAGTGCTCTGCTGTTCCAAGTTTCCTTAACAGCAATCTGACTTTCCAATCGTCATCATGGTCTCCAAGTTCAACGCGGAACACATCTACGTAACACTTGAACCAAGATTCAAAAGTGAGACCAGCCGTCACTTTCGAAATGTCACCTGCACTCCGATCACGAGTCGACAATTCAATCAGCCAGATTACACTCCACATCGCGACGCACCGATGATGCCGTCTCGCATGGCGGTGAAACGTTTGCAAACCAATTTCGCAGCTCGGCGAACAAATGAGCAACTGAAGTGAGGCCAGCATCAGGGTCGTACAAAAATTCGGTAATGCTGTTAGAGTGTTATGGAGAAGACAGGATCGAACGAACAGAGCAACAGGAATGAATTAGCAAATCACACCGTTCAATATAAAGGTAAAATGGAAAGTTCGTGAATAGTATTTAAAGCGAGCGTGGAAAGCTCTGCAAAGGTTAACTTACAGCCAATAAAGGAACTTCGACCTAGCTTTCATTGGCCGCTTCTCCTGGTTGACTCTCTGTTGGCCCCAATCAGGGCGGATGAGTTTGGATCGCCGGCCGAAGCGATGGGGTCCTGGCTTGTTCGACTCGCGTATTCCTTCCTAACTGGCCCATTAATATAGGTCATCTTTGGCCTACGTTTCTATTGACGTTACGTTGACATATTCTGTATACTAGAGCAGGCGAACAACTTGCAGAATGTGGTCGAGTGTTTTAACAATCCCAACGCCACATTCACATCTGAAGAAGAAATTGACTACGAAATGCACTTCTGGGATGCAAACTTAAAGCGACAAGAAGACGGATTAATTCAGATAGGAGTATATAGAAAGCCGTACAGAACAGGCCGATATACACACTTCCAGAGATTTGTGCCAATTAGCTGTAAAATTACACTGGTACGTACTATAGCAAATCGTGCACCAAAAATATGTAGTGAGGTCATAACTGAAGAGGAAACGAAGTGAATCAGGCCAAAGCTTCTCGAAAATGTTTATCCAGAACAATTCATTGACGTTCATATAAAGCCTAATATCCCAAGACCAACAGTACAAACGGTAGAGACGAAACAGCTGTTTCTCCAACTTCCCTTTAAAGGGGACATGGTTGGCGACATCCGGCTTCGGATGTGTCTGTCGCTGTGGCCAGCCACAGGACACCTGTGCCTAAGAGGGACCATAGATGGCTTGCGCTGCACCACCTACAGCTCCATCCACACACAACATTTCCAGTGTAAACCCGAAGGAATAAGACCGGGAGGCATGCGGATGGCAGCCGCGTCTCATCAACGGAGCCGGCCCACACTCCTTCACAGACAAACACAAGCACGGTGTATTTGGGGAATCAAGTGCACACAAGGCGGTGGCTGGACCGTAGTCCGCTCCACACTGAGTGCATGGAACTACTCTTCGAGCCTAGCACAACCACAAGGACCGTGCACCCGGTCCCTTCCAGCAACGACCAACTGTCTCCTGGAGCCAGATGGACGACGTAGTGTGTAATAGACAGATAGGCACCTTGTCAACATGCACATCAAGCGCAGCCACACCTGGGATGTCAAACAACAGCCAATCACACAAAATGCCGATATCGAATAAAGTAAACGCATATGACGACATAAATACTCGCTAAATGAGCATATAGAAGAAATTGGTTATAAGTGAATCCGTGATAAGTACAAAATATCCGAGTTATTTAAAAAAGACCACGCGATAAAATTGCGCCAGTTTACCACAATTTGCATGAGCGACGTGTGCAAGTAAGGAGAAGATTATCAAGTAAGCAGAACAAACCAAATAACATGTAATGAATTTTATCCACATTAAAAAGACTTAGTTTAAGTGTAAGTTAGTTTAGCCCAACCGAGGTGAAGAAGCATCATGAATGCAACATCAGCCTCAGCAAACGGCACAAAGATGACATACCGGCTGAGATATGCACACGAGGATTGATACAGACTTGCCGAAAGACCTTTAATGCAGCTTAAATAAGTGTCCCTTTTACAAGCAGTTCGCTCTTTGTTCCCAGATTCAAAAGCAAGATGCCTGATCAACGCCAATCAAGGATAGTATACCGGTTCACCTGCTCCTAGGTGGCTAGGTACATTGGACGCACGACCAGGAACTTGGAAAAGCGAATCAAGAAATATTTGCCAACATCGCTCGTCATACAAAGAGACAAAAGTAAGTTGAGTGTCATAACTAACCATCTGATCTTCACCAGTCGTCTGAATGATAAAAACGTCATCTGAGATCTTCTATCGAGTGCCATCGCAGCTACACTATCTGTCAGGGGCCCGGTTACTCGCTACCGCTGAAGCGGTATGCATCAGTTTGACCAAACCAAATGTATGCATTCAGAAGAAGCATGTACAATCACTACCCTGACCAGCCAGTAACTGCTGGAGCGGACCTCATGTAGTGGTTTCCCTTGCCTTCAGTCACTTGATCACATGACAAATTACGTTAACCATATAAAATGT